AGTGTGATTAAAAGGGCTCATTTTTAATCACACTTTTTAAGTGTCATTAAAAAATGACTTCATCACATCTTTTAAGTGTGATTAATAATATTTAGATCACATCTTTTAAGTGTGATTAAAAACACTTAGATCACATCTTTTAAGTGTGATTAAAAGCATTTAGATCACATCTAGTGTGATTAATAACATTTAGATCATATCTTATAAGTGTGATTAATAACTAATAAAACCTGTGACAAAAATAAGAATTCGACATATTTGAGGAATAATCAATATTATTTTTGTACGCGTATTTGAAGAATGTAATACACACTATATACTATATTTTGAACCATAACCATATATTGAATGGAATAACGTCATATATTTCATAAATGAAAGTTAAATGTTCAAAAGTATATACAAAGGAATTAATAAAAAAAAAATTAACTGTGATTATATATATTTAAAAAAAAAAAAAAACTTGAAAAAACTAAGTTCTTGAATTCTTTGACCATATTTTGCATCTCTCTAGGAAATTTCTGACCTAAAAAATAAAAACACAAATTAATTCATAAACAACTAGAAGCATATGAATAAAGTTACTATTGTTGTAGAGACTATTCTTGTCTTACAAAGGACAAAATCGGACATTTTCTCATCACACTGACTCTTCATCCCCTGCATTAATAGAAAAGGAATAACGACTTTGATTGTTACTAGTATAAAATGTTTGTATTACCATATATAAATATGACATATAAATAGAATCAATAATTCTAAAATGAAAATCTTCAATGTATGGATAGATATTTTAAAGTCATAAAACCAAATATATATAGAATCAACAAATCCAAAATTATAAACCAAACATAACAAAAAGAGTTCCCCCTCCCCCCCTCCTCCCTCTTCATTTCTCACCAAATCACTCTAAACAGAATGTAATTTTCTGAATTCAGCTTCTGGTGAACAAGAACTCAACTTAACTCGACTCCATTGATTCGTAATCCAACTAATTTGAAATTAAAAATAAATAAATAAAAGAAAAAAGAACTGCATAATTGGTTCACTCTCCAATTATGAAATAACAAAAGAGAACAAGTTAGTGGATTTGGATTTATCAATATTACCCTCACCCTTTATACGAAGACTGGTTTTCCTGTAGCCTACACTACAAGAATTTACACAATTGCCGACCACTTTTGCCGACCAAAAAAATTTTGGTCGCAAAAAAATGACATTTGGCGACCAAATATTAATTAGTCGCGAATGATCATTATTTTTGGCGACCAAATATTATTGGTCGCAGAAGGTTATATTTTGGCGACCAAAAAATGAGTTGGTCGCAGAAAGTGGTATACTTTTGCCGACCAACTACAAATTTGGTCACGGAAGGTCACATATTTTTTGGCGACCAAAAATTTGGTTGCCAAAAACTTATTTTCAGCAACCAAAAAAAATTAGTCGCCAAATTAGTACTTTTAGCGACTAATATTTTAGTCGTCGTTGATTGAGATTTGGCGACTAAAAAAGTTTGTCGGCGAAGGTACCTTTTCTGCGACTAATATGGTCTTTTGGTTGCCAAAAGTTTGGGAGGGAAATTTGATTTTTAGTGGGGCGGGAATTGAATTTTTTTGGCGACAAATAATTTGGTCGCTAATTTTAAAATGACGTCGTTTTGTACCATGAAATTAGAAAAAAAATAAATAAATAAAATCAAATCAGTGCCCTCTCTCTTTGTTTCTCGGTCCGCCCTCTCCCTTTCTGTGTTCTTCCTCTCAATCGGTGCCCTCAATCGGTGCCCTCAATCGGTGCCCACTCTTCGCCTCTAGGACCTCTCCACTGGCATCACTGTTCGCCGCTTCGTCGGCCACTCCAAAGATGTCCTCTCCGTTGCTTTCTTCTTCGATAATCGCCAAATCGTCTCTGCTTCCTGAGACCGCTCGATCAAGCTGTGGAACACTTTGGGTGAGTGTAAGTACATGATTCAGGATGGTGATGCTCATTCCGATTGGGTCAGTTGTGTTCGATTTAGCCCACTATTACAAAAATAGTTAAAGATCACACTTTGAAAAAAAAAAATATCTCACTTTTTTTGAAAGTGTGATAAAAAAAAATTAGATTGATATTTTAATCACACGTAATTTGATTGAGTGTGATAATATTTATTTTTATGTCACTTTTCAATTAAGTGTGATTATATATATATATATATATTTAACCACACCTTCTAATTAAAGTGTGATTATATATACACTACTACTTTTTAATCACACTTTTTAAATGAATGTGTATATATATATATATATATATTTTAATCACAACTTCTAATTAAAGTATGCTTAGATATACATTACTACTTTTTAATCACACTTTTTAAATGAGTGTGATTATATAGTATATTTTTTTTAATAACACATTCTAATTAAAATAATTAAAGATCACATTTGATAAATAAAAATATCTCACTTTTATTGAAAGTGTGATAAAAAAAAATTAGATTGATATTTTAATCACACTTAATTTAATTGAGTATGATAATATTTATTTTTTATGTCACTTTTCAATTAAGTATAATTATATATATATATATATATATATTTTTTAATCACACTTTTTAATTAACATATGATTGTATATATTTTTAAATATATTATTTTTATATAAAAATATATCCCAAACTGGCGCCTTTTTCTCTTCTCTGATTCAGTAGGCACGACTCCTTCCTTATAAGGACAAAACAACATTGAGGCTTTTTCCAAATAAAACCCTAGCACTTCATTGTATGCTCAATGTCGACACCTCTTCAGCCTCTTCCAATCTCCCTCACATTGGACTCGCTATACCTTCTCCCTTACAAAGGTATGGCTCTCTCTCTCTCTCTCTCTCTCTCTCTCTCTCTCTCTCTCTCTTGTAGTTATTTAATGGTGGGGTAAGGGTTTTCGGTAACGTGGTGACGCTGTGGTGGGGATGGAATAGTGTAATGGAGGTGTTGTGTGAGAGGAGGAGGGCTAACGGTGTTATAGTAGGGAGGGAAAGGGCGGGCATTTCAGATTTGTGGTGGAGAAAAAGTGTAGTTTTGTGGTTGTGGATAAGAGGGAAGGAGGCAATGGATCTATGGTAGTAGAGGATTGGAGGGGCTGTGGCAAGGGGCGGAAGGGGAAATGCAACCAGGTGGGATAGGGGTTCCTAAGGGGAATGAAGAGGTTAGGGAGCCAAAAGAGGGTTGGGAGAGGGAGACACTGTAGAAGCCCTTCTTGTGTTTGATAAAATACCTGTGTGAAACATTGCCATATTGTTGGGCATTTTAGAGTTGAAGGGTCATTTCATTATCTTGTGTGGAGAATCCTTAGTTCACTGATTGTAAAGTAAATCTCTTAATTCTAATTTCTGGTATATCAAACATGGGGCCTCTCTAGGTGTTGGTCTCATGGTGTGTCTGTACATCCTTCAATATTATTAGCAATACTCAGAAAGTAACTTCAATCAATTCAATAAACTGTGGGGTGAAATTGCTGTGGTCTTAGTAGGTAATTATATCCGTCCATATCAAGTTGATTTTGTCTGTATCTAGTTGAATTGCCATTTATTTACACACTCCACTACATAATAATGTGGAAATAATAGGGAATATTCATGCCAGTAAAGCTAAGGCCTCAAACCTAATTCTTATTGTGGCATTCTGATTTCTCTACTAGAAAAAATGTAGGTTAGGCCTTCAGATAAGAAAATTATGTACTCTAGCGAACAACCAATGTCTTTATGCCCATCAAAAGGACCTCAAGATGCTATCCAAAAGAAATGAGATGAAAAAATTCAAAAAACACATCTAAAAAAAAGGGCACCATGTGGAAATACATTACTTTCTTATCATGCAAAGGAACTATTTCTTGGCAACCTACACAACTTATAACAATGCTTGTGTTGTATATCATCAGGTTGATCGGGATTTATATATACATTGATAAGAAATGAAGATCAGGATCTTTACAAAAGGCATTTTGAAGTTTTTGTCTCCAGTCATATTTAGCCTAAGCAATCTATCTTTTTTATTTTGTATATTTTACTTCTTTGACATCTTAATGATTTCCCCCTTGTTTTGCAAAATGCTGCTCAATTGAACTAAAGTCTCATCTTGGGTGTTGGCTGAAATGACAATAGTCACAGTGAACCTTGAATATTTTTGATGATCTCTATATGTTTCTAAACTTGAAGGATAACAAAAGTAGGATCAAAATGTAGTTTTAAGGACTTAACAGGGACTAGGAAGAAATTAATGAATAATGACAATGTCAGAAACCATATAGAATGCTTGGAAAAAATTCTAATTAAAATTAAATTGTTATTTAGAACCTTAAGGAATGATTTGGCCCAATGGTAAAGACGTGCCATTACCATCTTACACTTGATATTTTTATCTCAGAAACCCCTTTGCTGTGCTGGCCTTGTAAATACACATCTTATATAAAATATCTTTTATACATGAAAAACTTGCTTAGAGCCTTAGACTTGCAAATTTGCAGATGCAAGAAATTTATGGGGTTTTTGGTTACTTCATTGAGGCAGAGAGTATGAACAAGAAAAAATGTCTGTAAGTTATTTCTTGCTAATTTTGGTCTTTTTGGCTAGTTTACTTGCTGATTGTAGCTCATAGTAATTGCTTTTGTTCCCTTACACAACATCTCTTTTATGCATGATGCAATTTGTTTCTATGAAAGAGATTCTGTAATCTATATTCTTTGAATAATTTATACAGAAGATTCATGTTCATACAGAAGCCTCCTAAGAGATTCTGTGAGAGAGATTATGTAATCTAACACTAAAATACTATTAATCGCCGTCGCATCTTCTCTGCTCTCTGAAGTTTTGATTACAACTCTGTGAGTTCTGCCATTGTCGTCACCTCTAGTAACCTTGCCCATCGCCGTCTCATTAATTACTATGTTAAAACCCTACAAAGTGTTTTGGGCAGGTGGGTATGTTCCAACTATGTATGTTTGTATAAACCCATAAATTTAATTTTCGTTCTGTTTCTATGCATACAAGTCTTGTAGGTTTACTGGGGGTGTTATCTGTTAGGCCTGACCTGGATTTTAACTCTGCAAAAATAGATTATGGTAATTCAGAGGTTCAGTTAGGTTCTCCTTTGAATACATTATCCGGAAGCACTCTATTATTTCCTGTGGGGAAGTCTAAGCACTGGCTTGTTCTAATGGACAAGCCGGCAATTGGTGTTGTCACAAAGGCACAGATTGTTGATTATTATACTCAACTACTAACCACGGTGATGGGGACGTATGGATTAGTAAGTGTTATTGTTGTTGTTGTTTTCCCCTTCTTTCACAACTTCTGTTTCTATTTTCCTAAAATTGGAATGAAAAATTTCAACAGTGAGAAGGACGCCCAAATGTGCATATACCACATTTCCTGGCAATCCGACTTTGAATTCTGTTGTGAGCTAGATGAGGAGTGTGCACGAGAACTAGCAGGTTTGGTGTATGCTTCCATAACCTAAGTTTTGGATGTCTATGCTGGCAGAATAAGGATAAATGTTTTTGATTTGGCGCAGGTGTGCCTGGTGTGTTATCTGTTCAGCCAGATAAAATTTTTGACTCAGATAATAAGAATTATGGAGGTTTGTCAACATGTTCAACTTTGATAGATGCACTATATTTGTTTTTTGTTGTAATTATGATCGTAGAGACAGTATCTTGATTAGATCTTTTCCTTTACTTTTTAGAATCTTTCAAATTTGCAACTTAGACTGAAAGTTTATGGAATATATACCATGGATATCATGTTGTGACAATTATATTTGAATTTATGCCATAAATTTTCAAGTTTAGTTTCAATAATTGCATATGAAATATCTTCATTGCTGAACTTGTGGAATGGCAACATGACGTCTCAATTGGACAACCCTTGTCCTGCGTTACCTTTTTGGGTTTGAGGCTTCTATTTTTGCCTTTTGAGATTGGTTGTTTAAAGATTTGAACCAGAATTGACTGTGTTCAGATTATAGATGGTAAATTGTTTCATGATATTGCTAAATATCTGGCATACATGAAGGATAATTGCTACGATATTATTTAATTGAAACAAAGAGAGCTCTAGGACAGATGAATGTGTACGGTGGAAAATTTGTAGAGAACATATATTTATTGTAGATTTTGGCTTTTCTTCAGGGAATTAAAGTATGAACATTTCTTTTTATAGGTCTTTCAATTTCATGCCTATAAGGATTGAGTAATGGTGGTGAGTCAATATGTTTTTTATGAGAGTTTACTATAACAAGATGATGTGTTTCAGGTAAGAATTTGCAGCAGTCTGGTAATTCCCGAGATTCTTTAGCAGCAAATGAAATACCACTACTACAAAAACAGAAACCCCTTTCCTGTGCTGGCCTTGTAAATACACATCTTATATGAAATATCTTTTATACATGAAAAACGTGCTTAGAGCCTTAGACTTTGTTGTATTAATATTTGGTGAAATCCCTGATATCTACCTACTTACAAATTTGCAGATGCAAGAAATTTATGGGGCTTCTTGTTACTTCATTGAGGCAGAGAGTATGAACAAGAAAAAATGTCTGTAAGTTATTTCTTGCTAATTTTGGTGTTTTGGCTAGTTTACTTGCTGATTGTAGCTCATAGTAATTGCTTTTGTTCCCTTACACAGCATCTCTTTTATGCATGATGCAATTTGTTTCTGTGAAAGAGATTCTGTAATCTATATTCTTTGAATAATTTATACAGAAGATTCATTATGGTTCAAGCATTTCTTGTTTACACATTTAATTGAGAAGTAGTTGATCATATTCATGAATTTATAGAAGGCCATATAGGGACAATTCGACATGGTAATCCAATGCTTATACTTTGTTTTGTCTGGGACCACAAACATGGTGTTACCTTAGTGGGAAATGATGTAGATGGCTTCTAAATTTGAGTATTATTGCATTAGTCTTTGCATCATATATATAGTGTGTATTACATTTTTCAAATGCGCGTACAAAAATAATATTGATTATTTTTCAAATATGTTGAATTTTTTTTTTATCACAGGTTTTATTAGTTATTAATCACACTTAAAAGATGTAATCTAAATGTTTTTAATCACAAATAAATAATGTTTTTTCGCAAAAAATAACAATTGCCGACCAAGAGTTTTGGTCGCAAAAAATACATCTATTGCCGACCAAAACAGCTCTTGGTCGTGGAAACTCACTTTTGCCGACCAAAAGTTTTGGTCGCGAAAAGTAACAAATGGCGACCAAATTTTTTGGTCGTGGAATGTCACAATTGGCGACCAAATTTTTTGGTCGTTAAATATGATAATTGGCGACCGAACTTTTTGGTCGCGAAATGTGTCAATTGGCGACTAAGATATTTGGTTGGGAAAATATCACTTTTCGCGACCAAAGTGTTTTAGCGACAAAATGAATTAGTCGTGGTAATGATATATTTAGCAACCAAAAAATTAGTCGGCAAATCCAACTTTTGCCAACCAACCAAAATTTTGGTCGCGAATTACTTTTGCCGACCCTCAATTGGCGACCAAAGTAGCGACCAAAAAAATTGGTCGCGGATAACTTTTGCCGACCAAAAATGGGCTTTTAGCGACCAATTTTTTGGTCGGCAGAAGTGTTAATTCTTGTAGTGCTATGGAGCATGATTGAACAGTATATATAAACACATATTAGTAAATCATAGCCTTGAAAAGATTTTTATCAAAAACTTATTATGGAAATACATCAACAAAGAGAGTAAACTAGACTAAATCCCGACAAAAATTAAAGCTCAGATCAAGGTAGAGAAAGAAAAGCATATACCAAGTCAAGATGGGTCAACTCCAAAAGAACAAACAAATGAACAATCCCCCACAATTCCAGCATTTGAGTATTGAGCAATTCCACCAAGATTTTAACAATTATGTGTTAGTGTATCTGTTTTCATATAAGAAAAAATATAAATAGAGAGTGGATAGAAAGAGAAGCAATTGAGATCAATCAAAAGTCCGATCAATCCAAATTACTCATTTTCAAATGTTATCCATACTATAACTGGTATTCCTGTGATCAATTTATTAGTTTTTTTTTTTCCCCACAATTCATATTTCGAATTGGGTTCATCCTTATATTCATTGTATTGGGTATCGTGCAATACAAGACTGATATGCAAGACTGATCTAGTGTGAAGCAATCTCAAACTCTTGAGTGTAAGAGTGATATTTTGTGAAGGTTGTGAGTTTTCCTAGGATGTACTTGAGTTTACTATCTTTCATTGTACAATTGCTTTTGTATGTAGTAAAATTTACACATTTTATGAAATTTGTTATGTTCTTGAAGTGATTATATATTCCTTGCCAACTAAAAAAATTGTTTATTAGCAATTTAAAGAACGGAAGTTATATCATACTACATGTTGGATTTCAACTCATATTCTTTAGTACGAAATTAATCCATTCAACTTGCACTTCATCAAGTTCGGTTTCCGTGTAAGTCTTTTTTCCGTTGAACTGCAAGAGGTTATTTAGAAACAATTAGATAATAAAGAAGATGTACAAGTACCATGAATATAATAGTAATAAAAGTTTAGAATTTATCTGACATTTTGTTTTCTTAGGATGCTTTGATCTCTAATGAGGTCTTTCATATACTTCATTACATAAAACCCACATTCAACGTTTGTAGGTTGTTGCGGGGACTACATGAAAGCATTTTTATTATTATTAGAAACTACATATAAAGTGTTATGATCGAGCTGAACAACCATTAGCATAAATATAAGTATGATAAAATTAGAGAAAATGATATTGATTACCTGAACTACTTTCCAAACTGGATTGGCCCTCCTCCTTTGGGTAGTTTCATAAATTTTCAAAGCACTTTATAAAAGAAATTCCAAAAGTCAAAATATTTTTAGGCTAACTCAAATTTCTTAAAAATGTACGAACCAGCCAAACTTTCGTGTTTATTACAATTTCAAGGCTTGTGTTTATTTTAGAATTAATCGGATCAAGCAAGTACACAATCATCAATGTTAGATCAATGACTAACAATATCCAATGGTACCTACACTTGAAAAAGTCACAAGTATGAGCTTAATAAGTTTATTATCATTTGAACACATGAAATAAATAGTTTTAGATAATTACCCAATATTATATGGAATTAAAATCAATTGTTCTAGCATAGCCTCCTCTAACTTCTTGCAAGCAACACTGATTTTGATTTCTCCCCAGCCATAGTTTTTCCACTAACGATACAAGGGTTAACAAATACAAATTGTTTCCTCCAATTGGAAGCCTTCAATACCTGATGGAGATGACTAATAAAAGAAACAAATGTTAATTAAATTCGTAGTTTGTAAAATCTGCAGAAATAGCGATTGATGTATCAAATTTTTCTTACCTTATGTACAACATGATACATGTAACAGATAATTCTTTTACATGACATATGTACTCCATGTCTACTTTTTGAAGTTAGATATTGATCTCCACCCCAAATATGTCTTTCTCTAGTGGAATGTCTATGGCTTCATCATACTTGATATGCTCAACTAATGAAACAAAAGATTGAATGGACTCTTGATATTTTCCACATTCAACATTAATTGAAACTCCCTAAGTTTAAAATTTTCAAAATAAACAAATATAAGTCAACTTTAATTTTAAGAAAGTGTAATAAAGTTTCTAAGTTTGAATATTTTACCTCATCACCGACCAATACAAGATTTTTGGGCCAAGCAACAAAAAATCCCACTGCTTCTCCAACAATAAGCATCTCATCTGGGATAGGTATAGGAAGAAGGGCATCTTTCTGAATAACAACTTCAATAGACACACGTACATTGGATTCTCCTAATGGCACCGTATGAATGGCTTCATTGGGTTCAATTCTCTCACACACCGTGCCATGTGCAACAATATTTTCAATGGAGCCTACCGCGAGTTTACACGGTTTTCCCTATAACACACAAAGTTAACAATGGAACTTCTAAAAATATCACTAACGATATTAGAAATTATAATATCAATATATAAAAACTACACACCTTTCTCTTATTTTGTTTAGGATCTTGAGGTGGAATGTCGTCCTTACTTCTCACTCTATTTTCTGGTAAGATAGAATCATCCTGAAAATTGCCTCTACCACCACTTTTCAATGTGCTTGAACATTTGCTCTATAACAAACACACAGATAACAACAAAAACACTAATAAAATCACTAACAGTATTGGAAAATATAACAACTTTAGGCGTTCTAAATGCTACACACAATTGATAAAAATTTAATGAAAAAGTTAAAGTAATTCATATCAAATCAAATTTTTTATTCAAATTTAAAATCAAATTAGATAAAAAAAAATTAAAAGAAAATGATGAAAGGTTGAAAATATTCTAAAACCTTTTTATTCTTAAAGATTAGAAATTCGTGTGCGTATTATATTCATATTATATTTTTGGTTATGAAATTAAAACCAAAAGAAATGTAAATTAAATTATTGGATTAATAACAGAATGTCGGAATCACCAACCTGGTAACTCCTGGTGATGGAAATGGACTGAGTACGTCGCTGACTCTGATCGCCTGACCGGCGGGATGGGGTGCGCTCACTGTGGTCTCCCACTCCAGCTACACCTTTCCCTTTGACATGCCGCTTTAGATCCTCCATCTCCGCCGCCATCCGCCTGATGACAGCGTCTTGGTCTCTTAACTTGCTTTCCAGTCGCCTGGCGTGTGAGTCTCTCCGCCGGTGACCGTCTGGACTCCGTGAATGCCCATGACTCCTTCCGCGCTTATCCCGCGCGTCACCTGACTGTCCTCCAGTGGGCGTCCCCAAGTCAGCCATTGGATGGACGGCAGGTGGTCCCTCTCTCCTTCGGGTATACTCCGGGGTGGCTCCATCGATGGCGGACAACGGGAACTCGTCGTTGTTTGCCATAGATGGCGATCAGATGAACCTGGAAGACAAGGTTTTGTCTGTCAAGCTTCCCACAGACGGCGCCAATTGTACGGGGAGCAAATATTCCGGCGTGCCCGTATTCCTTTCTTCCGAGTTTCGTCGATATCCGATCACCTGCGAGCAAGTAACGGTGAGCTACCCGGCGGTGTGTGGCCGGAAACACCCTCCGACGGTCAAATTAGCACACACCTTAGAGGAATAGAGAGAAGGGAGAGAGTGTTTGAGTGTAAGGATTTTCTTACAGAGATGTTCGTGTGTCCCGTATGGGGGGGCGCAGTCATGCTTACATACCTTCTGTGCCCCATATCCACTCCCTGTCATCTCCTGACACGTGGCTCTGCTATCCCATCTGTCAGCATAAACCATGCCGATCATCACCTGCTCTCAACTGCCTGCCAGCATAGCTGGAGCTCGGCAGCCGAGCTGTCCTACCTCGGTCATACCGTGCTTCATACCTTAAGCACCTGGCCGGATAACCGAATGAGGACCGGGCTAGGCGGCATCTCGGCAAAGCTTAACCCAGGCTCCTCCTTTGGTTGGCCTCCTCGCCGGTCAATCAACTACCTCGGCTGACCGCGCCTTTCCGTGCGCCGGCCTCTCGGTCTGTCTGGTCTCGACAATCCTCGGACCGAGCATCCCGGTCTGACCGGTCACTTCCTGGCCGAGCACCTTCTGCACGGTCCGGGGCAGCACACAGTCCAAACTCTGCCCGGCCCAAGTTCTGGTAGCCCATCTCCGGGTGAACAGTCGATCATTTCGGCCCAATGCTCTGCTGGGCCCTCAACTTGTTCGGTCTACACCTCGGCC